CTGGTTCTATAGGCCACAAATGGAATTTGATGTGACTGGGGCTGGCAATACGGAAGGATCGGCAGAGGATTTAGGAAGTAGACTTCGCAAGATTGCTCTTTCAGAATCGGAAAATCGGGTTATAGACTTGAAGGATGATGATATCAGAATGAGTAAGGAAGAGTGCAATATGAGTCTTTTTGGCAAGATAGTAGGGGATAGACGTGCAAGTCTAATAGGCATAAGAAGAGCTATGGGAGGAATATGGCAACTGCTGAGCACATTGGAGGTAAGAGAACTTAAAACCAATTATTTTCAGTTCATCTTTGGAAGCATGGCTGATAAATTAAGAGTGAAAGCTAGTGTGAATTGGGTTTTTGAAAATCAGTATCTTATATTTTCTGACTGGGAAGAAGGTCTTAATGAGCATCATATGAGATTCACAGAATTAAAAATGTGGGTGCAAGTGAATGATATACCCATTAACTGGTTGTGCATAGAAGTAGGCCATAAAGTGGGAAAAGTTTTCAAGCAGACTCAAAGTGTCACAGTGGTCAAGGCAGGGGGACAGAGAGGTAGCTTCCTCAGAATTCTGGCTATACTTGATGTGAATAAACCACTGCCCAAGGTAGCAAATCTCAAGCTTAATGACACTCAGATCCTGGCCACATTTCAGTATGAAAAACTTGTGAACACCTGCTATTACTGTGGGTGTATACGGCATTTGGAAAGATCTTGCATTAAAAAATCTGATGATGCTGCTAAAGGAGTGCTCTCAGAAGGGCAATATGGTGAATGGTTAAGAGCTCTAGATGGTGGCTATGGAAGCAAGAACTATCACAATTTTAGTCCTGGAAATACTTCCACAGAATCTCCTAATGCTGGAAATGAATCAAATAAAGATAGCATAGGTCAGGATCAAGGCAACAAGTCAGCTGGTAGCAGAGTACAGGAGGAAACTGCCTTTGCCATTCATAAAACTGGGACATCAGACAACAAGCAAAATACTGAAGATGAAGAAAGAAGGGAAAGAGTGCTTACCATTGCACTTCCTTCTGCCTCCGTAGAAAGAGTTGAAAGCTTCCAAGGGGCTGAGATTGAATTGGGCACAGTAATGGATGAGGAAGAGGTAGTTTGCAATCAAAATTCCCACACAGAGACGCACCATTATCAGGCAACATTACAAAAGGATAACACCTCAAGGAAAACAGGGTGGAGAAGGAAAGTAAGTCCCAATGGCAGAAATCAAAACACCAATGACAATGCTATTGCTACTCAGGCAGAGCAACTTACTAGGAGAAGAAAGAGATCTGAGGACCTTGAGATCATTGAGGAGGAAGTTCACACAGATCTATCTACGGAAAGCAAAAAGCTCAAAGGTACTGTTCAAGAGGTGGGGGTGGCCAGCCCAGAATGGCCCCCAGGTGGATAAATGAAGCTATTCATGTGGAACTGTAGAGGGTTGGGTGGACCCTCTACAGTTTCACAACTCAAGGAGTCATCTCGACTCCATCACCCAAATTTTGTGTTTCTCTCTGAACAAAAAAAACAAATAATTTTATTAGATCAGTTTGTAATAAGATTGGATTCAAAGATATGTGGTTTGCTGTGGAACCCCAAGGCTAAGTGGAGGGTTGCTTGTCATGTGGGGCATGAATGTGGTAGTTATCCAAATTATCAGTAACTTTTTTTGTATTCAGATGGAAGTTAAGGGGATGAGAGAAGAAGCCCCTATGTGGTTGGTTTTTGTTCATGCAAGCTCAGATAGGAGAGAGAGAATTAATCAATGGAGTTTCTTGGAGACAGCTAAAATTAACTGGGGTAGCAGGTGGATTATTGGAGGGGACTGGAATGAAGTTTGTGATGCTAGTGAGAAATCAGGAGGAAGGATTAAGGCTGGTTGGGAGTATAGAGGATTTAATGAATTCATCTCCAGGATGGGAATGCAAGAACTTCAACTTGTTGGTCACCCTTTCACATGGGAGAACAGCAGAGCAGATGAAGAATTCAAAGAGGAGAAAATAGACAAGATCTTTGCATCCTATGATTGGATAGCCTCATACCAGAATGCCATTGTAGAATGCTGGTTTAGAAGCTCTTCAGACCACAAGTTACTCTCCCTTAATGATAAACCTGAGATCAATGAGCAACTTCCCAGGAGGTTTTATTTTAACAAGAGGTGGCTAGGCAGAGAAGGGGTGACTGAAGCAGTAGAAGCTGGATGGAATGCAACTCAATCTGGTACACCGATGCACCAATTATCAGAGAGAATAAAGGCTACCAGATTATCATTGCTGAATTGGAGTGCTACATTCAGAAAGACTCAAATCATGGAGAAAAAGAAGATCTCATAGCAATTAGACAGCATGAGTACTCTTGGGGCTGAAAGAGATTGGAGTGAATGGAATAGGCTAAAAAGAGATCTTGATAAAATCACCAAGGCTGAAGAGGAATATTGGGCTCAAAAATCTCGAGTCCAGTGGATTATAGAAGGTGATTCAAATACAAGGTTCTTCCATGCCCTAACCATCCAAAGAAGAGGTATAAATGCTATAATAAGACTTGTAAATGAGAATGATCAAGTGATGGATAAGAAAGAAGATATACAGCAGCATATTTGTGATTTTTATGAAAAACTTCTTGTTGTGATTATTTTTGTTACGTTTTTTTACTGTTATTTTACATTTATTTTCCCTCATTTTTAGGTCTTTTAGAAGGTCTTTCGGTCCATTTAGTTGTTTTCGGTTATTTTTGTTGTTCTAGTATTTATTGTGTATTTTGTGGTTTTTCGTGTGTTTTTGTGTATTTTCGTGTGTTTTTGTGTTTTTCCGGTTTTTGGGGTAATTTCAGGTATAATAAGTCTGGATTTTCGAGAGTTATCGTTTCCGACGCATTGGTATCGAGCCCCGTGAAGATTTGAGTTACAAGATAAATTGCTCTTTTGAGCATAGCTAGAAAGAAGAGCTCGTTAGTAACGCGTAGGAGAAAACGGAACTAAATTTCGAGTCCGAATGATCCCAAACGAGAAAGAACCGTAAAGCCGCGCAAGTTGCCCAAGCCTCGCGCCGCGGCCACTTTTCAGCATAACTTTGGGGCAACTTTTGTAACTAATTGTGGCCAGTATATGACATTGAATTGAAGAGGGGTTCGTTAGCTACGCGTAGGAGAAAACGGAACTCAATTCCGAGTCCGGACGAGCCCGTACGAGCCAAAACCGTAAAACCGCGCAAGCTGCCAAGTCTTGTTCAACATGGGCGGCGCCCACTTTTTCAAACATGGATGTTGGGCGGATTTTGGAAGATTTTGGGCTGATTTTGGGAGATTTTTGATAGATATGGTAGCCATTAATACATAATGATCTTAAGATGATTTTTATGTGATTTTGTCCCCTCTTGAACTAGTATAAATACATCATTTGTGAGAGGTCTTAAGGAGAGTGCGGGGAGGAAGTTCTAGCTTGAGTTCTTAGATACAAATATTAGAATTAGTACAAACACTTTCTAGTGTTCTTGATGTTCTTGTTCTTGTTTTCATTTTCATTTGGTACTTGAAACACTTGTGTGTGTAATTTTATTTTATGTTGTGAGTTAAAATTCGAGTGTTTATCCAGTTAAAATCCGAGTGTTATTCTGTAAATTCCGTTCCGTTAAGACGTTATAAATTTATATTCCGATTATTGTTATTGCAGTCGTAATTATTCTTATTGTTCCTAAAGGAATGATTATGAATATTATTACTACAATAATAATAGTTGTGGATACTTATTTATATATATATATATATATATATATATGTTATAAATATTAACTATTATTGCTTAATGTTATTGCTTATTTCTACTGTTGTAATTTTATTGCTTTATTTACTTTACGCACTTTACTCCCTGCCAATTACTTATCACATATATATATATATATAGAAATATTATTATTATTATTATTAGTATTATTATTACTATTATTACTGTAATTTACTTTCTGCACTTTACTTTCTGCACTTTACTTTCTGCAATTTACTTTCTGTTTATATACTATTATTACTACTACTATTATTATTATTATTATTATTACTATTATTATTAATATTATTATTACTATTATTACTACTATTGTAATTTATTTCTGTTATTTACTGTTTTGCTTTTCCAGTTGACTTTCTGTTATTTACTGTCTTTCTTTTCTGTTTCTGTAATGTTATGTAAATTTCTAGTTGTAATTAAGCAAAAATCTGGATTAATTTTCTGCATTATTATATATATAAAAGAAATTGAATTACACATAATATAGTTCGATTGACCAGTCCTTGAGATCGACCCGGGAAACGAGTTTTTAACTCGGTGCTCGGAAAAATATAAAACAAAATTTGCTACAACACTTCTCAGCTCTGAAGGATCAAGTGGGGATAGAGAAATTCTTCAGCTAATCCCAGAATGCATCTCTCCAGAAATGAAAGAAAATCTCATTGCCCCAGTCACAGAAGATAACATCAAAGATGCCCTATTCAGCTTGGATCCTGGAAAAGCTCCTGGTTTAGATGGTATGAGCCCTTTACTTTTTCAGAAATTTTGGTCTATTATTAGGGGATTTTTGTTCTGCTATTCTTAGTTTTTTTGAGTCTGGTATTATTCTTAGAAATTGGAACCACACTCTTATCTCTTTAATTCCCAAATGTTTAAACCCTTCCTCTCTTAAGCAATTTAGACCTATTAGTTTATGTGGAGTTGCTTATAAGGTCATTTCTAAAATTCTTTCAGCTAGAATTAAGCCTTGCCTTGACTGTGGTGTGAGTTCTAACCAATCTGCCTTCATCCCTGGAAGGCAGTTATTGGATAATGTTGTTTTGGCCCAGGAATCTGTTCACTTCTTGAATAGGCATAGAACAGGCAAAAAAGGATTTATGATGGTGAAGTTAGATTTGGAGAAGGCCTTTGCTAGGGTAGAATGGGAGTGTGTTAGGAAAGTTCTTTTAAAAATGGGGTTCCATTCTACCTTTGTTAAATGGGTTTGGGCTTGTATTTCAACTGTTTCCTTTTCTTTCAGTCTAAGTGGGGAGGTTAAGGGTTATATATCTGCATCTAGGGGGATCAGGCAGGGAGATCCCCTTTCCCCTTATATCTTTATTTTGATCTCTGAGGTGTTTTCTAGACTGCTGTGGAATGAAGTGAATAATGGGAGATTTAGTGGGATTAAAATTGCCAGAAAAAGTCCTGCCATTTCCCACTTAATGTTTGCAGATGACACCTTAGTTCTTTGCCAAGCTGATGTTCTTCATGCTAATGCCTTGTTGCATATCTTAGACAAGTATCATTTATTCTCGGGGCAAAAAGTTAATTTGGGGAAGTCTTCAATATTTTTCAGTAAGAATATCTCGTGTTCTCAGCAAATTTCCATCTGTCAGATTCTCAGTGGCATTCAATTTCATAGATCAACCAGATACCTAGGACTCCCTCTAGGTATTGGTAGATCTAAGAAGGAATCTTTTGATTATGTGCTTAATTCTGTGAGATCAAGACTTCATAGCTGGAAAAATCAATTTCTATCTACTGCTGGGAAAGATGTTTTACTGAAAGCTGTGATTAGTGCTTTACCTGTTTTTTCTATGTCTTGCTTTACTTTGCCTAAAGGAGTTTGCAAAGAATTATCTAGACTTTCAGCTAGCTTCTGGTGGAGCAAGGGGGAACAAATGCCTGGGATTCACTGGAAGCAATGGAGGGTGGTGACTCTGCCCAAAGATGTTGGAGGACTGGGTTTCAAGGACATAAGTCTCTTTAATGAGGCCCTAATTCTCAAACAGCTTTGGAGGTTAGCAACTCATCCTAATTTGTTAGTCACTAAAGTTCTAAAAGGGAAATATTTTCCTGACTGCTCAATTTTGCAAGCTAAAAGGCATTATAGCTACTCTTGGTTGTGGTCTAATTGGCTGTTGGTTAAGGATAAATTCAAGCAGTACTTCAGAGTGATTGTGAGAACAGACAGCTTTATAAATGTGTGGTCTGACCCTTGGATCCCAAATTTTGCTTCTGGTATACCTGGAAAAACTGATGTGGGGTTTAATACTGTGAAATGGGTTTTTGAACTTATCATGGAGGATGGCAGATCATGGAACAGAAGGCTCATATTGGACTGCTTCTCTAAGGAAGATGCAGAGGCTATACTGGAGATTTCTTCATTAGACCCCCATATGGCAGACAATTGGCAATGGACTCTAGATTGTAAAGGTAAATTCTCAGTTGCTAGTTCTTATTCTAAACTGGTGGCTGACAAAATCAAGAAGCTTGACATTGCTGGTAGCAGTTCTAATGCCTTGTGGGAAAAGAAAATCAGAAACAGAAGCTGGGGACTTAGGATCAAGGCCAAGCTCAAACACTTTATTTGGCAATGCTATAACAACTCTCTGCCTGTTGGCTTTAATTTGAAGCATAGAGGAATGGATGTTGATCCATGGTGCTCCAATTGTGGTCAGGCCTTAGAGACTGTGGAGCATATTTTTCTGCACTGCAATAGAGCCAAAAGTATTTGGAGACTAGCCTCAGTTAACTGGAATGAAAAGAGGAATCTGCCCCATTCAGACATTGGTGGTGGACTGTGTGTGCTGTTGATAGAAAGGAAATTTCTGAAGCAAGGATTGAATTAACCACCTATATCCTTTGGTGGTTGTGGATGTCCAAAAATCTTTGGAAATTCCAACAGATTTGGATGTCAGATAGTGTGGTTATTGATTCTGCACAAGCTGATTGGCAAGAATTTGTTGCTGGCAGGCTTGCTCATGAATGATATATGATGGAGAAATTGTTGCTAGGTCCTTTGGTTCAGTGGTGCTTTTCTTCATCTTCTTGTAACAATTCTGTCTCATTATTGTCTTAGTCATTCTTGTCTTGAACATCTTTTGATGGTTGCTAGTTTATTGTCCTTAGGGTAGATAGAGGCCTCAGTTACCACTGCCTCTATTTTGTACCAAGTTATGTTTGATTTGGGAGTTTAGGCATCTTGTTAGATGGCCTCTGTATGTTTGTTGTACTGAACTGATAGGGTCTATTTAGACTCTCGGCTTGTATCTATTTTTCTGTGAAATGAAGCTTCTGCCGTTATGAAAAAAAAAAAAAGTTCTTGTTCTCACTCTTTGGAGAGGTAGAAAGAGAAAGTGAGGAATGTGGGCATGAAGTGGACAAAGTGCTCGATTCATACATCTTTGACAAAAAGCCCGACTTCAAGAACGATTACGGGTGGAGCATGGCGATTTTGGTGTTTATCTCGTCAATCTCAATGCGGTAATGTCCATTCTTTAAGCTCATGTGTTCAATATAGGCTCGCATGTTTCAGGATCCTATGTGGCAAAATTACATGCTTCATTATTAGGCTTGAGTAGATTATAAATAACTTCAAATCCAAAAATAATTAGGTCTGGATTACCCATAAATATGTTAATTATTTATGGTTATGTTACATGTATTAATTGCATTTTAATATCATTTCTTGTTATAACCATTGAATTGTAAATGCATTTTAAAAGTTAATAACTTTTGTAACTTTTATCAGCTTTACATATATAATATATCAAATTAATCATATCTTGATGAGCTTTGATTTAGCATCCATATTGTATGTATAAAAAAATAAATTATATTTATCTTTATAACAATAATAACATTATTCTTTTAATATTAACTAGGAAAATAAAATTATTTATTAATTAATATACTTATATTTCAAGTAGTTATATGATATAAGTTATAAAAATTACTATAATATAACACATGTAAGTAGCACAAGTAACAAGTGTCATTCTAAAATATATAATAATACATATTTTTTTGTAAAAAAGTAAATAAAATTTAAAATAATTTTTCTCATTACTTTTAAAATTTAAGAATAATTTTTTAACAAGCACCCATCTAATACACGAGTGTTTTGTACTAATTTGACACTTAAAGACAAAAAGTTTTCCAAAGCCTAACAAGATTTGATAAAATGCAGGGATCAATGATGGCACCCCACATGAACCAGAGAGCAAACGAGTATGGGAGAGTACTGAGAGGCAGCAATGAAGGCTCACGTCGAAGAGGGCAACGTATTTTGGATCCCCCGTTACTTCCCCTTCTGCCAGATCGCGTCCAAAGGTGGTCCGTTTGAGTTCTTCGGGTTAACCACCTCAGCCCACGACAACAAGCCCCAGTTCTTGGTGGGGAAAAACTCACTCCTCCGTGCGATGAGAGATCCTGAGTTGGAGGCTGCGTTGGACATGAGCAAGGATGGGTTGAAAAAGATCATCAATGCTCAACGAGAATCTGTTATTTTGTCGGCTTTCAAGAGTATAGACAAAGAGTTGGTCATGTAGTTTGATTGGGAGGAATATGTGTTCTTATCATGCTCCACTTTTTCTATTTCAAGCATTTTATTTATCTTACTCCGCGTTTTCTTTCTATTTTCATTTTTCAATTATGAGGTGCGGGGATTCATCATATCTGCCAATCGGTTGTTGTGAATAAGTTCTTGAGTTTCTTTAAGGGTTAATTGCAATTAAAAACTCAACCTTTACTAAAATTGCAAATAAAACTCCACCTTTTCAATTTGACATAAAAATACTTGACCTTTCTAAAGTTTTGCAATTGTATCTCGACATGAGATTCTGGTGAATCGATGCTGAGGTGGAACATCGGAAATCTGACATGGAAACAGAATATTGACGTGGCAAAAAAAAAATTTACACTCAGTGACACGTCATTGTACACGTAAGAGTCCACGTCAAAGCCTATTAACAGATAATACTCCCAATCTCAGGCCCGATGAATCGGAAAAAAAAAAAAGGAACAGAAAAGTTCGCCGCGGGCGATTCTGCTCGGCGTTTTCTCGCGATTTTCTCCAAAAATATGCTGCTCTCTTCCTTCTTCATCCGAAAAATCGAGTTCACTACCTGATTGAGGACTTCCTTTTAACTCCGGGCCCTAAAATCTTCCAGCAACGAAACCCTAACAGGTATGATTTTTCTTCTCAATTTTCAAATTCCCCCAATTGTTGATGAATTCATGTGGATGTTGATCAAATGAAAAGAATTTTGATGAAGATGTTGGGTCAGAATTGGTTTGTTAGGTTGAATACGCAGTGGGTCGACGACATATGATCTGATGCAGAGAAAAAAAAAAAAGGATTTTTGATATTTATTTTTTGATGGCTTCATATCGAAAAAAAAAGGATCTGACGCCAGCTGCCACCGTCGCACAAATCGCGCGTCCCAATTGCAGTCGGGCCGCATTTCCATTTTCTGATGCAGATCCCGCTTTTCGATCTGACCTCCACCGAAGGCCATCGATTCGAAGCTCAATCGCCGCTCTCTAAGCCGACGATGCTCAAACATCCACGGTCAGAGCCCATCGATTCCCAAGTTCCATCGTCTGCCGTCAGCCGTTGAAAGCTCGATCGTCGCGTTGCCGCTTGCGACCACTGAGGTTGATGCTGCGTGGGCTGCCGACAAAGAGAGAAATAAGGGGAAAGAAAATGACGGCGAGAAAGAAAAGAAAAATGGAAAAGTAATAGGAAAATAGAGAAGAGATCAATTTTTTTTTGCCACGTCAATATTTTGTTTCCATGTCAGATTTCCAATATGCGACCTCAGCATCGATTCACCGGAATCTTCTGTCGAGACACAATTGCAAAACTTTAGAAAGGTCAGGTATTTTTATGCAAATTGAAAAAGTGGAGTTTTATTTGCAATTTTAGTAAAGGTTGGGTTTTTAATTGCAATTAACCCTTTCTTTAATAATAATAACTCAAACTTCATATGCATTATGGTTCTTATCTCAAGCTTTTGAATAAATTTGGGCAAAGGAACTGCATAAATTGTGATGGTTCGCAGAACATAGCAGATTTTTTATTCTGATAAAGGAGGTCAATAATTCAAAAAATGCCAATATTTTAAAAATACAACACAATTACTTGAAGAATTGGTTGGATTGCACCAAATTTTGCTGACGAAACCCGTCATCATTTAGTACACCGATTTCTCTCATGCTCTTTCTCTAGCCCTTTTCTCTACCTTCTATCTAGATTTTTTAGAATTTTCAGCTTTTGTTCTCAGTTTTTTTCGTCTTCCCCTGACTGCTCTAGTTTAGTTCAGCCACTGCCATCGTCGGCAGGCCCATTTTTTTCGTTCCTTTTTTTTTCGTTCTTTTTGTAGCCCTTTTTTCAGTTCTCGTTCTAGACCCAACTTTCATATTTTCCGGTTGTCACTGTAATGGGGTTGTCTCCAGGCAACAGAGATAGTAAAGGGCAAGCCCTTTTGGCCTTGGCCGTTCAAACCGTTGCTGGTGTCGCCGGAAAATAAGGCTTTTGAGGTTAAAGAAGGATGTTCACTGATGGTCCCGCCGTCAACCGTCGCCGGAGGTGTCGTGTCCCAGATTTTCGCAGGAGTTGAAACCCTTGCTAGAGAAGGTGAAGCCCGACATATCCCACGGTCTCGTCGTTGAGTGCGGGAAGCCAACCTCATGTGTGGTCGCCAGGCAGTCGTGAACCAGTTGCAACATTCCTCAGCGTCCTCCTTCGTCGGATTTTGGCCTTGACGCAGCCGCCGTAGTCGATGTTGACAAATCAGGTGAGGAAAAAAAATATTCCAACCCTTTTTATATGAAGGCCACGTGAGGAAAATATATATATATATATATATATATATATATACACACACACACACCATGCCCACGGTGATGAAGAGTAGTTGGAATCGCACGACAACGATGAGAAGTGACGACCAAAATAATTGAATTTCAGATGTCCGAGTTTTGTTCAGACATCTAACCAGCTTATATCAATGGCCATAGCAGACCACTAGATCTACAAAATTCAATCAATCCCTCATCAATTTCCCTGTGGCGATTTACTATAGATCGATCTCCTCGATTTAATGCTGAAAAACGAGGTTTCGATGATTAATGATTGATGATGTTTCAGCTTTTTTGAGAATATTTGTCGTTTGATTTATTATGTTGTGGGAGATGTTGCGTATATATACAGTATATTTTTCAGTATATGTTCCCGTAAGCACAATCTGCAGTATATGTTGCGTGTATAGGCAGTATACGCTCAATATATGTTATCGTTGCTCGTGCTTCGTGTGTTTCTCATCTGGCCCGTGCTTCATTTGTTTATCATATACTCTACAAATACTAAAATAATTTATAATGATTAAGATTAGTTTACGATATGTATATGATAGGCTGTATACTAAATAAAAATTCAAATATCATAATTATGGTTAAATAAAAATGCTATGTAAATAAAAAATTAGGTTGTATACTGAATATATATTGACTATATATGCAATATATACTGCCTATTCAAAATACCTGAAAACCCCACGATCTGCGGTTACATTTTATTTGGTAACTGTGTTGACAACCAACTTGATTCATCAAGATTAAAAGAAAATTTATCGATTATATTCTCAAAATACTCTTTCCAGCCCAACTCCTACAACAAACTTAGCCACCTCAGTGCATGGAGACAACTACCGACCTCGTGCATATAAATGATAACCGACCTACTTAAGGTGGTAAACCGACGTCGCATAAAAAAACAAAAAACGACTTTGCGAATATTCTTCCCTGATGGTTATCCACTTAAATCAAGGTCCGAGGTAACTAAATCCCGAAGCAGGTGACAAGGCATATTTCTGATTAGGCCACCTATCAAAATAGTAATCATTGTTGTCTCCCTATTACACTACAAACCGCTTTAATGAAGCTACTCAACATTAAATGCGATCTGATCTACCTCGTACAAAAAGTCAAACTCACCGCATTATAAATAGCAAAATTAATGATTGTACGGGGATCTTTTTGGGCACATTGTACACGAAGAAACAAAAATAACTCGGTTATATACGAAAACCGACCTGCTGTACTCTAAAAAAGATAACAATAATACGAAATTTTACATTGCTTTCATTTTAATTACATCTTGCTACTGCGTATTATCGTTGTTAAATTCCATACAACAACAAACTGAAAATCTCATAATTTGGGGGAGGCGGTTACACTTAATTTGGTAACTGAAAATCCCACAATTTGGTGTATATTTATAATTAATTGACATGAAATTAGTAAAGATGCAAATAAAGTTTGCTACATAGTACAAATTATAATTTTTTCCAAATCATGTGGTATAAATAAAAATTCGCCTTTTTGTTTTGTGTGTCTAATGCTGTTTGTGCTTGATATTATGTTTTCTCCCAGGTGGGAGTGTGTATTATCCTAGTTGGATCATTTATTCTCCCTTTTTGGAGCTGTGTAGTCGTTTTGTTGTGTTGTGGGTGCATTGTCTAGTGTTGTTGGTTTAGGTTCTAGGGATCTTTGGATCTGTCCTCCTTTTTTTTCTTCAGCTTTTTAGCTTGTTCATTCAGTTGGGTGTTGTTCCTTTGTTTGTACATTGTGTTCTCTTCTATAAAATCTATATCGTTTCGAAAAAAAAAAAAAAAAAAATTAACTAAAATCCAAATCAAAACTCAATAAACCTATCTGCATAAGATAGAAATTGAACGAAAGCCGATTCCCAATTTGATATGATCTCACTTTGTTGATTTATTTCTTCCGCCTTTCGAGTATTGACGTACGCACAATTAACAACTTGTTAGGGCTATTCTCTCCAGATCCGGCTTCCTTTCTGAAGTTACCGGCGAGAGTGCCAAAAGTCTCTGGATCTGTCGCTTTCAGCCACGATGCAGCAGTGTTTCACGGCTCTCTCAATCTCTGTCTTATTATGTTTATCTTCCGTTATCTTCTTCAGCTCGATAAGCAATCATTTCGCTAGAGCTGAAGTCATAGCTTTGACGGTTGATACCTTCAGCGACAAGGTACTGTTTTGGTGATTTCTTGTTCTTCTCTCATGTAGAGAAGATTGGAGTTAAGTTTTTGACTTGGATCGTTTAATTGAAAGAGTTATGAAGCAACCGATTGTGAAATGTCATTTTAATGTTGTGTTTCTGTTTCTTTATATATTTTTTTTAATCTTTGCAATGTTTTGCTATGTGTGTTGCAAACACGACAAGTATTAGTAATAGGGATTTAGTTCATTTCCTTAATCTCAATTTTCATAGTAAATCTTCTTGGGTTCTGTATCATTCTTGTATATCAGGTTTTATTCCTTTATTTCTGGTATCTATGATGTCAAGATTAAACTTTCCATGTTCTATGTACACTCTCAATGATCAAGGACGAGTAATGCAGGATAAAGAAAATGAAAAAGAAATGGAGAAAGTTGCAATAAATGCCACCTTTTTTTTTCCTTTGTGTCTACAGAAATACCACTTGTGTATAAGTGTATTAGTACCCAAAACAGCCGTGATTGCAACCAAGGGTGGTATTTCTAAATATACAAACACTAAAAGTGATAATTTTGACAATTTTCCCAAGATAAGTAACTCTTGTTGGAAGCATTATAAACAATACTGAAGAAAATAAAATTGGTGTCGGAATTGTGGGAGCAAAAAAAAGGTTAATTCTTGATAAATATGAAAACAGGGTCTGAGTCTTTAAGAATAACTGTGTATTTTTCAAGAATTTAAGAGGCCTTTGTGTGGTTTATTTAGGTGCAGGAGAAAGATACAGCATGGTTCGTCAAGTTTTGTGTCCCTTGGTGCAAGCACTGGTAATTGTAATTCTCATCCCGCGTAATTCCCTAGAGGAAGCATATTGCATGTTATTGTTAGCTTTTGGGCAAATAATGGAATATTTTCCTTTTCAGCAAAAACTTGGGGACCTTGTGGGAGGATTTGGGGAAAGAGATGGAAGGCGAGGATGAGATTGAGATTGGCGAAGTAGATTGTGCAACGGATAAACAAGTTTGTTCAAAAGTAGATATCCATTCATACCCTACATTCAAGTTATTCTATAATGGAGAAGAAGTGAAGAAATACCAAGGTAACAGTTTATTTCTAACTCGTTCTTTCTTTTTCTTTTTGCTTTTTCAGAAATGGAAAGCACAGTGGGTTACTATGTTGTACTTGATAAATTCTGCTGCTGAATCAATTATGAGAACAAATGATATTGGACGAAATAATTATGCATTTCAAAACATGAACTTTGGAGGAATTACCATATTGGGATAGAATCAGTCTGTTTGCAATTAAACCAGAAAGTTAAATCTGTGGCATTTTGCTATAAAATGCTAAAACCATTTCTGCTACTTAATATTAGTCTGTTTCATCGTTAGTAACATATTGGAACTCGACTATCTTGTTAAAAATTTAGCCGTATTATTCAATTTTGCCATCTCATTATCCTTCTCTGGAATATTTGATAGATTGTCCATAAACTGAGGCGTAGTGGTCATAGTTAGGAGATGGTTTCGACTTTGTAGAGTTTGCTCAAGCTACAGCATATTTTTTTTCTATTACATCTTTTCTAATTTTCTTGAGCTTGTATGCAATATTTCGACACTTATGAGGTTATCTTGTCTGGAATATTGACCTCTGCTATAGTCATTTGTAAATGTTTGCTCATTCTTACTTAAATCTTCGAAATAGGTGGATGTACTGGGCATGATGGAATTATGTGATTTACTACTTCCTATCAAGTATTCTTAGCATCTGACTTTAGAAGTGGTTTGAGTTTATTCTTTAGAAATTAACTACCACAGGTCTTGTGGCAACTTTTGTTTGCCTTCATATTTAAGTACTACTTACATTCTGCATTATCCTCATTGAACTTCTTAGTTTTGTGAACCCGAATTGCCCTTCTATTCATCTCTCATTACCTTGGAAATCTTATGAACCCCGCATTAGTAGAAGATTTAAATATGTAAAGGAATATTCAAGAATAAATTGCTTTTGTAGATGAGAATTCTGGCTTTGAAAGGCATGTGATCGTATGACATATTTTTTTTGTGAAAGACGGCACTTTTTTTCTTTTCTTTTTTTGGGTGTGCTTCTCAACAGAGGCTGAACATCTGATGTTAATTGACAGGACTTGATTTTAAGTTTTGTGGTTTGCCTTTTCTTTAGTAATGAAAATGCGTGAAAGTTTTGGAGTATAAGCATGACAGTGAAGTTCAAGAAATACAATGCTTGATTTTTGACTTGCGGTGACAAATTGAATGTTACAGGAGCTAGGGATGTTGAGTCACTCAAAGCCTTTGTTATTCAAGAAACAGAAAAGGTAGCTGCGCATGATAATGACGGTGATCTGTGACACAAGTGTCGTATGCATGCTATCTTTTGCAGCTTTTGGGAAGTTCTCTGACAAAGGACCATACTATGACGAGGACCAGAATTTTTGTTTTGAGTTCCCATAGACGGCTACTCTTTTTCTTCTTTTCTAGACCAGTATAGACAACTTACACGAATAGAATTTTGTTTGAGTTCTCAAAGATGATTAATCTTGTTTGTGTTTTTCATTTCGTGTATTATAGATCAAATGTTACTCAATTTCGTAAAAAAAAATGATATGTGGCATGGACATACAAAAGAGAGTTACTTTCAGATAATGAGTGCAGAAAGCTACTTTCCAATTTAGCTCTTGATGCTGTAGCAATTGTGGAGGAATGGCGAGTTAAGAAAGTCGAGCATAAAGTTGATTATCGACTTTCTTACACAAATGATCATAATATGACAAGGACCAGAAGTTCTGCAAAGGAGCCTAGTTTAATTACATGCATGATGCAAATACCTACTCCCCACATGCTTCATAGCTCTTCAAAATTACTAAGAATTTCCGGAAGCGCAATAAAAGCTATGAAGTTTCAAACTTCATGTGACTACATAAATTCTTTTAAATATTTACATATAAAAACATACGAACATAAAATGCATACTATTGAGGTGATGCGAGAGGGGAGGTTCAAAGGCTGATAGGTGGAAGTATTCCTTCTCCGCTTTCTTCTAGCATTTTCAGTCATATTGATGCTTGTTAGTACCGCCCTCTTTTTACTAGTCACCGCCCCCCCTTGGACGATTTTGCCCTTTTTATTTTTTTCTAAACATCTAAGAGGAAAGTGTACGGTGAAATGTCGTCAAATTCGGAGCTACGAAAATTTTTGTGTCCGACCGCCGGAACCGGACGGCTTTTAGCCCGTCCGACCGCCGGAACCGGATGGATTTTAAGCCGTCCGGCCGGCCGGTTTGGACGGGTTAAAAGCCGTCCGAAAAGTTCGACCGGTCGGACGGGCTATGTCCGAACCGGCTGGCCGGACTCTTTAAAAGCTGTCCGGCGGCGACGGCCGGTCGGAACCGGTCCGTCCGGTTCGGCCGGCCGAACAATTTGTTTTTTTTTTTTTTTTTAAATTATTATGTTATTATTTTTTAAATTATTATGTTATATATTTGAAATAATTATGTTATAAATTGGACTATATTATTATGTTATAAATTATTATGTTACATTTTAGACTTGATTATGCTACAAATTGGACGGTAAATATTATCGTGTTAGGAGTTACAAATTATTATGTTACATGTTGATTATGCTATAAATTGCACGTTAGATATTATCGTGTTACGAGTTAGAAATTCTATATTACATGTTAGTCTTGGTTATGTTATAAATTGACGTTAGATAGTATCATGTTAGGAATTGCAAAATATTATATTACATGTTATAGTTGATTATATTATAAATTGGACGTTAGATATTATCGTAATCGTGTTAGGAATTACAAATTATTGTGTTACATGTTAGACTTCATTATGCTATAAATTGGACGTTCGATAATATTATGTTATGAGTTACAAATTATTATGTTACATGTTAGAATTAATTATCTTAATTTAACATGTTCTAAAAATATAAATATTGTACTATATAGCAGGAGTCATGGAAAGATTTTGGAGGAGATGGTGTTGATTACAGTCTGAGTTTCGATACCTGTACATTATTTAATAGTGCTCAGGACGCTATTGAAGTTGCAAAAAAACCAGGCAATGCTGAATGGTTTCCTATTAGTAATTTCGAGCCACAAAAAGAAAACGGTCAGGCTTTTGAAGTGCCATAGAGGCGAACGCTACAGAGGCACAGGCGGAAATTCCAGAAAGACAAAAACGAATAAGTGCGGCTACGATTTTGAGATCAAAGTAAAAAAGGTGCCCGACCAGCCATACTGGAGGATCTGTAGATGCAGCAATGAAGAGAAGGGCTACCATAATCATACATTTGCTGTGTATCCTGAGGGTCATCGCCAGTTGAGCGGCCTCAACGCTTCATCTAAGAAAATTGTTTGTGATATGACGGACGCTCAGGTGGCCCCGGTAAAAATTATGGCCGCACCGAAGGAAAAGAATCCGGGAGACAATGTTCATGTGCGACAAGTATATATATTTATATCTTGTAATATATGTTTTAATTAACTTTTTGAAGTTAATTATGATAATTAGTAATTTTTTATATGTAAAAGTTATTGTAATAATTAATAAATTTTATTATATATACTAATGTATTATTATTATGATAGTTAATAATTTTTTTATCAAATTAATCGCATTAATATACTTTTTTATTTACTAGTAAAGTGCACGTGCGATGCACATAATACATAATTTATATTTTAATGTAATTTTAAATTATATTTTCTCATTTATATTTTTATGATCTAATCTATTTTTTGCATTACTATTTTCAATTAACCAAACACAAGAAGTACATTACATAATGGACAGTGTCAAATATATTGAAAGTTGAAATACAATTTTAAAAGTAATAATATTTAAAAGTAATGGTTAAAAACATTGCATTAAAATTACGATTCCTTAGTTTATTTGACATCAAACTAACCTCACAATCATTAAATGATGTCACGGAAATTTTGTGTGAATATTCGCTCTTTTATGTATATTAGTTGTAGACTCAACATATAAAATAATGAAATAATTAACAAAAAATTATACAATGTTTGAGTTTGAAAAAATTATGAAATTGTATATAATAATTTCAGTTGTCAATATATGATAGTACAAATATTACATGAAGTGTATTTTAAATAAATTATTGATATCGTATATTCTTAAAAATTTAAAAACGATAATATAATTAATAATATAAAATGTAATCTATTTATGTATTATTTATTTTATAAAAAAATATTCTATATTTTTATATTAACTCCATAAAAGTACATCAATATATTTTATATAATTCATCATGATAGAAACAACTATCAAATGTGATATTTTGTAGTTAATGAAAAAGATCCGTATTCAAAGTTAACATATTTTATAATTTATTTGACAATTGCGTTCAATTACTTTTACTAATCATTGTAATTATAGTTTTACTATTATAAATATATAAAATATAAAAGATATCTTAAGCAATCAACATTCATCTATTTGGTAATAAAAGTCTTCGCATTTAATTTTTTTACATGTTATTCATTGTTTTATCATTGTATTTCAGTTTATAAGATTTTGTTACTTTTTAAAATTGATTTTTTCGATAAAAATATTATTGAATATAGTTGTTTAAATTTATTTTAATGAAAGACACCTTTAATTAAACTATATAATTCATAAAATATAGATTCGTAGTATAGTAATATAAAATTTGAAATTAGTTAACCTTGTTATTTACTAATTAATTTATTACCGTATTCAAGTATTTTAATTCTAGAAATTAAATCTAAATATGAATAAAATAATAAAAATAAAATAATTATATGATTTTTATATTTTAGTATTGCTATCATGTCCATAAATTCATGCGAAAAATATATTTTTTTTTGTTTTCTTTCATGTTATATCATGTGTTTTTTTTTTATTATCTTTTTAATCATATGTCCTACTTGATACTCTATTTTTTCGAAAGAGGCATTTGAGTAGTTTTATATGCCTTGTTATTAGTTTAATGTAACTTTTTTATAATTATATTATTAAACTCTGTCTATTATGACATGTAGTTATGTTATTAGTAATAAATTTATATTATAATAGTTTATACTTAATATTGTATGTTGTGAAATTGAGGATAGATTTTTGCCCCAACTTTTTTATTTGTTCCACGTACTATTTAGGAATATATTTTAATGCAATTTAGTATTATTGAAATAGTTTGCATCTCGTTTATTAATTTTTTCCTTTATTGATAATTAGTATTTTGTTTACCTATTTAAATCTATTTTGTTTAGGCTTTATTTTTGAAAGAGTTTTGTTTTTTGTTAGAATCTTATTTTATTGAGATATTTAATTTTTATTATAACGCATTTAGATACTTAGTTAATGGTTATTACAGTTTTTTCATTAAAACTTATATAATAATAAGAACTTTTAAGTCCCTGCAATTGTACTTAAAACTCAGTTTGAGTATAATATTTAATTGTAATTATAATTTTATTATTAAAACACACCAAACACAAATGATATCTTAAGAACTCCATTAAAAAAAAAACTTTCGTAACAACTACACGATCAATAGTTTTTGCTTAAATAAAGAAAAAACAGAATTATAATTTTTTTAAATGATACATATTTTAAAAAAAAAAAAATCTTTTGTGTATTAATGAAAATTAAAATAAATGATTGTTTTGGAATGTTAAGTGATTGCTATTATATTTCAAGAATACTAATTAATACATATTGTAACCCATATTTTTATTAAGTTTTTTTGGTGACCTTAAACAGTTTAAGAATTTCAAAATATTTTAGAAATAACTTTTACTGTTAAGATACATTATAAATGAAAATAATTATAAATGATATCACGAAAAAATTCTAGATACATGAAAGTTTATATCTGCTCGAGGGTTATGTATGATTCCTTAGTTTATCTAAGATCAAAATAGCAATTGCACAATGTCACAAAAATTTTGAGTGAATCTTCGCTCTTTTATGTATTTAGTTGTAGTCAACAGAAAAAATAAAGTTGAATAATTAACAAAAATATTATATAACGGTCATATGAGTTTGAAACAATTATGTATTGTAGATAATTATTCAACTCTTCAATATATGATAGTACAAGGATTAAATAAAGTGTCTTTTAAATAAACTATTGATACAACATATTCTAAAAATTTAAAAATGACAATCTTATTGTTAATACATCAAATCCCATTATTGAGAATTATGAAGTTTTAAAACTTAAAAAAATCATATAAAAATTAACAAATACAAATATTATAAATCACTAAATATGTAAAAGTTGTTATTAAATATCATTTTATATTTTATTTAGATTATATTTCCATATATAAAAAATCTCAATATTCAGTTTATGGCGCAATCATGTATTCGTTTCATGAGTGATTTACAAGAAAAAAAAAACAAATCAAAAGAGTTATTTTATGATATTGACAATTAAAAAATAAGTTGTGTACTTAAAATAATATTTCAGAGATTGTAAGGTATTTATATATTATTAATTTATATTAAAAAATATTTTATATCTTTATATTAACTCAGTAAAAGTATATCAATATATTTTATGTAATTCATCATGATAGAAACATGTATCAAATGCGATATTTTGTAATTAAATAAAAAAAAATCCCTATTCAAAGTTGACATACTTTATAATTTATTTGACAAATATTTTCAATTACTTTTAGTTAACTAAACTTTATTTGTTATTATGCATACTTAGAGGATGCTTGGATACAAAACATTTCAAAAAAATCCAAACATTTAA